GTGTTTACTTGGTTGGGTCTGAGCGGCTGTGGGACTGGCGGGTGACAGAGATTTGTCCTGACTGTGGGCAAGGCCGGAAAACTCTAGCTACACATCAACTTTTATGAATATATGCCATAGAAATGTCAATTATATTTACTTATAGTTCATTTAATTATTAAACATCAATGCAATGACTGTAAGCGTCTGTTTACCTACTGAAACTTAAACTGTGTTTCCCTGATGCAGTTAAAAAGAAAACTGAAACAAAGAGATTGAAAGCAATTCTGTTTGATTTTCATATTTGAGATATATTTATGGCTCTAAATCATGGTAAATGTTTAACATGAACTTGTAAGTAGCCATGAACAACTGGCCTTCTTGAGATTCTCCTTAAAGAAAGTAGTGGACTTCACTCTGCCGGTGGTTTTGTCAACATGACCAAGCAGACTTACCTGTGAAGAACTTCAATTAAGAAAACAGTAGACCAGACTATTGGTCAACCTGTGGTACATTTTGATTGATGGCCCAACTTGTAGGCTGTGCCACCCTTGGGCTGATGGTTCCTGGGAACTCTTAGCAGCCTGTACAAACTATGAGGAGCAAACCAACAAGCAGCACTTCTCTCTATTCTCTGCATTAGTTTCTGTCTCCAGGTTCCTGCCCTGAACACCCACGCTAACTCCCTTTGGTGGTAGACTACAGGCTATAAGATAAAATCTTTTCCTCTGTAAGTCGGTTTTGGTCCTGGTGCTTTATCACAGCAACAGCAACCCCAACTAAGAAAATCACTGAGACCCTTAGATTAGTGGTACCTGAATAAAAATATCTGTCAATGTGTCATAAGCCGGTAGTGAGGGCTACAGATATCCACACACAGGAATCGTCTCAAATGCCAGCATTTGACAGAAAAATAGTAAATGGAGATGAGATATATTCAAACTGTAGACTGTGTTGTTTCATAAAAAAATAGTTTTATTCTAGCTCTTACCTTGATGTATCTTGGTGATTTATTCCAATTAAATTTGATAACATGTTTCAATTATTGTCTCATTATTAATTAAATATGTATTAATTATTCGCAGAAATAAAATGACATGTGCTATTTTGATACCTGCATGGTTTGTGCCATGATCCAATTACAGAGATAACATTTTCTTTTTCCTTACTACTCTTTGGGTTTTTAGATTTTGTGAAATATGCAATAAGATATTATGGCTCATTGGAATGTAGAACACCTGGACTTAATTCTCTCTGTTTTAATACCCGTTATTCAAATGTCCTATATTACTTGTGTCTACCAGCCTTCCAGTCTCCTGTTACAACTATTCCTTACTCATCAATTCTATTCTATTCATTCCCTACAACTGATAGTATTTTATTACTTTGTAAAGATTAGTGATATTCTTTTGTATACACACATGCCCATACACACAATTTTCCTTATCCTTTGTTGACTATCTAGGTTGAGTCCGTATTTTAGCTACTGCTAAACACGTCAAGGCAGGTAGCTCTTTAACATGTTGATTTTTCTCCTTGGGATATACATTCAGGAGACCACATGTAAACATTATCTTTTAGTTTCATATTTTCCATATCCTTTCATATTTTCCATAATGAATATATTAATTTATATTTTCTATAGAACCCTAAGTATATGAGTGCATTTTTTCCTATATATCCTCTCTGGCATTTGTGTGTGTGTGTGTGTGTGTGTGTGTGTGTGTGTGAAAATAGCCAATAAAATTAGAGTAATATGATATTTCATAGTATTTTGTAACTCCATTTCTCTGATGGAAATTTAGTGATTATAATTTTAATTAAGATATTTTTGTAAAATATAGTAGAAAGAAACATGGATTTGTTCTTACATATAAAAAAATCTGTCATAGAAGGATAATTGTGTCATTTTTATACAGTGATGAAATGTTAAATGTTACATAAAAGTCAGGGTAAAAACTCTTCTTTAAATTTATATAAATTAACTCTCATAAATGTTATTGCTGAGTTTTTATAACTTAGCTGGCTAGCATTTGAATTAGTTGCACTCTGATGAAATTTTTAAAAAATATAAGAGTGTTCTGATTAAGTATTCATGGTTTTCTTGTTTCTGCTTCTATGATTTATAAAAGCAAGTAATCTGTTATTTAGAGAACATTACCTTAACTAAGTGTAAAGTTAGAAATAAAACAAATTTGAGTGACCATTTTTTAATATTTCCTGTTTTGTCAAGTAATAAAGATCAGGAAATTGAAAAAAAAATGTATCTCAGGAAAATACTATTGGTTTATGGAAGAACCAGAAACAACTGCCTCCTCAAGTTTCATAATGTCATTCTCAGACAGACTTAGCCATACTATCCCTATTATTATTTTAGGTTTTCCACTGTGTAGAAACACTGACTGATAAATTCTTGTTCCATACAAAGGATTTGTTAACTATCAAGACCTCACTTTCTAGGAGAATAATGTATTGATTGTCATGAGTTTGGTATTTTCTTTAATGTCTAAGGCACAAAATATCTTCAGCTTTACTACTGATTATTTTAATTCAGCATTAGGTTGGAAAGCCCACAAACCATAGTTAATAACTGAGTAGTAGTGACTGTTATCAATGTACAAAACATTGAGATGTTTCTAAAGTCTTTTAATTACCCCCTGGGGAAATTATATTCAAGGGACATTTTTAGGTAAGTAAACAGAGAAGTGGCCTTAGGGAAACCAACATCGTTCAACATTTCCTGAGCTTACAACAACTTAATTTCTTTCTCATATTAAGTTGTG